CAGCAGGCAAGACGTTACGCTGCATGCATCGCGAGCGCGGATTATGATCCGCGCGCCGCCACTTTCTCGCCCAGACGCCGCTTGTCGTTCGCCGCATTTTCACGCGCACACCTGTATTTTTCACGAAGGTCGGACAGCGAGAGCGAAATCCCTTTTCTCCGCTCGGGGACAATATCTTTGTAATTCTTAATTGGTGCACTCTGCGCCATATCGAATAGCTAGAACTAATTGACAGGTTTACCGCGAGGCGAATTATTAGCAGTGTGTCGCGGAGAGAGAGAGAGAGAGAGAGAGAGAGAGAGAAAGAGAGAGAGTTATTCCGCGCGTCGCGGCGAGACAATGCCAAGTCGGAGCAAGTCCTAAAAGCAGCAAGTCTTCGGGTGCAATGAGGAAAGGCGAGGCATTGATACTAGCAGCAGTCGGCGCTAAGACACAACGTGCAGCTGCATGCAAAGTCGGCTAATGGCTCGCGCGCGCCTGCAACGCTCGTGCGTTCAACGCTCCCTCGCGCGCGCAACACAAAGCGCTCTGCGCCCGGTTTTTCCCTTTTCTTCTCTTTTGCGATCGGACAAACGGCGACGTGGCCTTATTCTTGATCGTTTGCATTGTCGCGCTCGTTATTAAATAATAACGGTCGCGCGAGTGCCGGAAAGCAGTGACACGCGCGTTGCGCAACGCGCTCGTACACGTATTTTCAGCCGGAGCGAAAGCGCGCGATGGCCGCGGCTTGCATCGACGACGCCAACTTCATCGAGAGAGCTGCGGCTGGTCTGCGCGACGCGGACGTCGCCTTTGCCGTGGTATTCAAGTTCAAGTTGATTATTAATCAGACGGCTTTTACGGTAAATCTATAAAATCATAGGCTTGTCACGATCGGCTGTATCTGATTAACGACAGCTCGCTGGAGCCTGCATTATAGATTGCTTATAGGTCGACGCGCGCATCCGAAGGCTTCGATTTTGCGATTTGAACTCTAATTTTCAGACGAATATGCACAAGAGTGGTGGATGGCTATCGAAAGAAAGTTGCGCGTAATTTCAAGTCCTTTTGCGCGACATAGCAGCCGCACGGACCGATCAAACTTTCATCAGTTGGCGCGACTGGCTCTCGCGGTCGCCGCCACTTTATATATTTATGAACTTTCGATATGGCGTATAGAACGTTTATCGTGAGAATCGATAAATTTCAAATATTGACACGTTGCCGCCGCGCGCGATCGTATCGATAAGCGCTATTCGTAAAAATGGCTCTCTCTCAGAGACACATTCATCAAAGCCGAGCGTACGCTATTATCCGTATAAACAAAGTTGAAATGCCAAGAGGGAGGAGGGATAGGTGCATTAGAAGAAGTCGAGTATCGAAGCTATGAAGTAATTCACGTAATCTACGGAGAAAGATGCGAGATTAAAAAAGTAGAGAAAATACTCATTGTGAGTGTACTTGTGGGCTTGAGCCCGCGTGCCGTCTCTCTATCCCACAAAAGCTACGGTCTTATCAGGCTGCGATCGACTTTTTTTTATTTGTTCGTTAGAATTTCTTTCCTATGTAGGATTAAACACACACACACACACGTTGATATATAGGGGACTCGGCTTCGACAGAGCAAAACTCGACGAAAATCGCGATTACGCAACTGGCCAAGGCCTATCGATACATTTATCGGGCGCGAGCTGGTGTTCGCGTGTGTCCGTGTGGCTGCAGATCGCAGCCTCTGTGATAGAGTGAAAGTCAGCACTGGCGCATGGGTGGTGGTCGGCGAGCCGCGGCAGGTTGCCCGCGCGCGACAGCCGAGTACGCCGTTGCCCCGGAAATCAAAATAACGTCCCCCGCTCTCACGCCTGTATCAATGTCAATTAGCCCGACGTAATGACCCTCTTTTTCTTTTCCGTTTCTTTTCTTCGAAAGCCGCGCGTGAAATCTCTTCGACAATGTTGCCCAATGTTCGTTTTGGTGGAAGTCGAACGGGCACGCACACGTGTGCGTGCATACTCGTAAAGGAAACGTGGAAACGCGCGAACTTTCAAGTTTCCAGCGCAAACTGACCATTGTATTATTAGAGAGACTTATGTCCGCGTCAAACGCTCGGGAGAGCTTACACGCGTCTTGTGCGTGTATATGGTAAAAGGCAGACACTATTACGCGGAAATACCGCCGCGCGTCGATGCTTTTTTTTTACATCGCGCCGCGGCAGCTCACACGTGTATCCCATTGCCCGCGTGCGAAATACGTATTATTATATTGGCAGCAGCAGCCGTATAAAGTACGTGCAATTTAGTAGTGAAAGCACTTAAATAAACTCTCTGTCAATTATGCACGCGCGGCTTTTGTATGTGCACGCGCGTGTGTATTTAATAGGTTTGCAGCGGTATCGCGAGCGACCTGCCTAACGCTCAGAGTAGCGCCGCGCGCGCTGCCCAATTAACGGCCTATCGACGCTGGCCGCGCGTGCAACGAGGCGCAAATCGTCCAGCACCTGCGCGGACGTGCATCTCGCCCGACTCGAATCACCTCGCGATCGCGCTATCGTTCGGCCAGGCGCTACAGGCGAGCACAGCGCCGCCGCGGCTGGCGCCACCGTTCAAGCGAAACTCGTTGCTCGCGCCAGCGAAGCTTCGCGCGCGGCTCGGAGGGGAGGGATAAGGAAGCGGCTCGAGCGCGCTTAATTGATCGACAATGGCACGGCAGCCCGCAACACTCTCGCGTACGTACTGGCCGCTCCTGCCAGATAACGCGCCGATTACTTTGGCTCTCTGATGAAGATTGAAAAGTTGCTTCGTTGCGCGCGCTGCCGCTGATCGATCGTGTGAACTTGCATGCCAGTTGGCGCGCGCCCTCGCCAACTTCTCCGTCTATCCGACAAATTGATAATGATCGTGGGCGTTAATTTATCGGCGCGCGGCTGAAAAACGCCGAGATCCTACGTATCGAATAAATTAATGCGTCTCCCATTGATGCTGTGCGCGGACAGCTTCCGGGCTACGCGCGTGCAACACTTGCACTTGATCAAGCGAACATTTTTCAGTGGAAAGCACTTTCCAATTGGCAAGACGAAAAGCTGCGCGCAGGCGTAGCCATTCAGGCAATTGCATCGAAATCGAATTATTGTCAATCGGCGATATCTATAGGTGGGAATTGCGGCGTTCCACAGGAATGCGCCAAGATATTGGCTCGAACTCGAGCTCGAGCCCGGCTAATTTGCTGCATCGAGATGAAAGCCAAATATTAAAGCTGTCGCTGCTCCGGATAAAGTGTTGGCTTCTCGATCCCTCTGACAGCAGCTGGGCTGAAAGACGCCGTTTCTTTACATAAAACAATCCGAGTGAGTCAGGCCGGACCCGAGCCGCGCTCGCTTTCATTTTGTTATCGTGCTGCAGTGCCGTTACGTGGAAAGTCGAGCGCACACGCCTTTGGACGAGAAAAGGGGGAAAAACTTGCGAGGAAGGAAAAAAGCTACGCGATGGCGGCGACGACGACGACGACGACGAGGAGTCGATGGCAGAGCAAAAAGTCGGTGTGGCGCGGAAACGTTGCGGGCGATGAGCGATCGCCGACGACAAAAGATATCGGGCTCAGATAAGCAGGAGGCTTGCACGGACTTTCACTGGGCGTCGTTATACAGACCGCCCATTCAGACCACCGCCGCCGCTGCCGCCGCCTCTAACAACTGTTCTCCGTATATACGTGCATTTACATGCGATAGCACCGAGCGCTAGGCCCCAGGTTCAACGACACACCTGACCCCACGCCGTGCCACGATAGTGCTAACGGCGGCAATCTTTCTGCCTTTATACCACGTCAAGCTCGAGCCTACTTGCTTATCCGCGTTATTCTGGGGTACCAGTACTCCTTTTGCTTACGCTTATTTTCGTCATTTCCTTTTCGAAGTGGCAACAGATCGCGGCGAAAGAAACAATATCAGTGCTGGCATTCCCCATCCGGCAACCTTTAACGACTCGAGTCTGGAGTCGCTTTTCTTGTCATCGCCCAGACTTTAAAATAACTCACAACGTCTTTCTTGCGTATTACGCCCAACTAACTTCCGTTAATGATCGAGCATCAGCGCGATAACTTTTGTCGTTTATTGCTCAAGTTCGAACAATCGCTGATTACTTTTAAACTTGGTTATTCTCCTGTATATACCGTGACTCGATCAATTATTTTTAACCGAGGGTAAGTTGATGTTCTTGACGCTCATTAATTTGGTCCGCGAGTAATTTTAGCTTTAAACGCTCTACTAACTTTTCTTTTTTAAGAAGTCGCTGCTGCTCGCCTGTAAACAAGTGGTTTTATCGTGGCAAAGTTGCATTTAAATATTGAGAAAATGACTTTTCCACGTGTCAAAGTCTTAGTTGCTTCGTTGATTAAGCTATACTCTTGCAGTGCGTACGCTTCGAGTGTCTGAAAATTAGACTCATGGTGAAAGCTCTCTTTGTTATTCAGCACGTAATCAACAATCTTTGCATTGAATGAGTTTGAAATGAGTTAAAGACAAGTTGTGCGGTGGGCAAAAATCTGCTATGCAATAGCTGATCATTTCTAGTTGGCAATCACATGTAAATTAGCCTAATATCAGTACAGTATACTTCGTGGAAAACTACACGAAGGTAACTCTACACCTTTTACCGAGTTACTGTAAGCAGTTTCTTCTCGAGAACGCCGGGAGGAACAAATGACAATCAGAGCGTAAGTTGCAAGAACAAAAATTTGAAAAAAATGATACGGTGTTTCTTTTGATCCGGGATTAAAAAGTAGTATGAAACTTTTTTCACGAGATCGGAGCAAAACGTGTCAACGAAAAGCAAAACTCGTGGTCGTGATCTAACGGAGCTTAACAATAATTCAACCAAATTAAATAGAATAATCAAGGCATTCCGTTAATAAAATTACGTAAAAATGAGTGTCGGGCAAGATTGAAAGTATACAGTTTTAAAAAAATTATGGTAAGTGAAAAAATGTATGAAGCAGAAGTGTAGAATAAAATGAAAAAAGAAATCCAGCACCTTTCATGAAGGGAGAAAGATTGGATGTGATCTTTCGCTTAAAGGAAAGATCGGAGACTCACGTTGTTTTGTGGGTGTGTGGGTGGTAGCGCACGTGAAGTCCGTGGATGGCTTGGCGTAAGTACGAGAGGGACTGTCACACTCGCGCACAGACAGAAAATAAGAGAAAAGCCACGCTCTCGTCGAGCTCGTTTTACCGAGCGATCATGGGCGGCCCAGTTGCGGCGCCGCACATCGAGCGCTGCATCAACGCAATGCGCGCGCGCGTGTGTGCTTCCGATTAATCCAGCACTGGAGTCCTGACGCTCGTACAGATATCAGCTGATAGCTTAGACCGGTGCGTTTTGCGCTTGACCGCTTGTCATGGTCCACTGGAGCTGAAGTTCCTTCGCCGGCCGGCTTTTATAGCTGGGCTCTATAGGTGTCTGGCTGGAGGCCAAAGCAGCGCATATGCTGCTGCTTGTTGATCCTTCGGCTGGCTGGGTAAGAGACACAGCGAGTACAAAGTGAGAGTGAGAAAGCTACAGGGAGCGTGCGTTCGCCGCTCTGCGCTCCAACTGACTGACTGCCACTGGCTGAAGCCCTAGCAGCTACACCGGCTTTGCCTCTCTCTCTCTCTCTCTCTCTCTCGCTCTATCGCGCCCCTCCGGTCTCGATCGTGCGCGCACATGTATCCCGCGCCCGCTTGCTTACTCGTTCATCCGTCTCCTTCCTTCCTTCTTTTATTTATTTCACTTTGACAAACTCTTGATTCTTGCTGCCTATGGCTTCATTCTGCCTCTATTGTTTTCAAGTTGATCTATCGAGAGAGACACTCTTCTTTGGTTATTGTCTTAATTTATAGTTGCTACGTGGATTGGAAAATGCTCTTCTCATGACATGTTCAAGTTTAGCTTGCTCACCAGACCAGATATTTTCACCAACAGTAGCTCATCGCAATTATAAAAATTGCTGACACTAAAGTCGCATCAAAGCTATATCAAAATTTCCAATACATTGAATATATGCGATGCACGAATTTTATTTAAATTCTAGATTTTTCACAACTTTGTAATGATGCTTCTGAATCGATCAAAGATCTTATCAACGTCTTGTAAATAAAATTTTCTGAAAATGTTTGTTTGCAAAAAAGCATCAAAACGTTCCAAATGCATGTACAGATACATTCAATTACTCATTATATTAAGTCTCAATTGTTAACAAAGCTCTACCTTTCAAAACTCTTATAATCTTGAGCTTTTAACTCATTACCTTAAAAAATACTTTACATAACTGCGCCAGGATAGGATGATTTGTGTTTGCAATGCGACGTCCTCTGCTTTGCTATTCATGAAGTCGCTCGCTAGTAGGCTGCTTCAGTCGATGTTAACCAGGCTGCTTTGATTCAAACCAAAGTATACGTTTACAAAGTGTATCCGCTGATGCTAGCGGATTGAAGTTTCAGAAGTGCGATGTATTTTCCGTCATCGAAATTTTTTTCCTGAGAGTCGCAATGCTTCCTATTTTAATTAATCAGACAGCTGCTTCTTTAAACTATTTTAATTTTAACTTAGATCTGCAAATAAGCATTTTCAATAAAGAAATTTTGTAATTTCAGAGCAAAAAATAATTGGCTTGGATTTGATTAAACAAAATTCCAGGAGATGATGGATATTTTTTGATAGGAATTTGATTTGAGCCCGCAATAAAGCACAATGGCTTTGTCAAGAGAAAAACATGAATATCGCAAAAATTCCAAAGGTACCCGTGCATTCCTCAGTGGCGCCTACCTACATGTTTCGTGGCACAAGCATCTGTCGTTCGTTTGTTTTGAAAAATAAAAAGGAAATCGAAAGGCAGCAACAGCCGTAAAGAAACGAAAAAAGTATCTGGCGAATCAGCGTCACGCGCCAGTCGTAACTGTGTCACACACGTCCCTCGCGAAAAATTCTGAGCGCGTACGGCCGTCTCGTCCGACTGGAATTATTAACCAATTGACACTGACAGTGAAAGAGACCAAACATAATTGTGAACCGCAAGGAAGAAAGTACGATATACAAACTTGCTCGCTTACGTGCATCTCATACGTGCACGTCTCTCTGCAGACTGGCCTCTGATTGCATACATACGTACAGCGCTCCATTAGTCAAAGTCTTTGGTCTTCGGTGGCCGCTTATTAACCGTGCGCGTGCATAAGTGTGGCTATTTGCACGGCATTACGTTTCCAATTGCATTTTTTGCAGACCTTGCATCCTTAAGTTTTCATTGCTCATGTTTTTGTTACTAGCTGCATGATAGTTTTCTAAATTCACTAATGTGTAAGTCATTAAAAACCGCGTATCATGTAATAGTGCAAATGTAGCGAATATTACCTTTTTCATAGTGTTCAATCAGAAAACATTATCGTCGGCTGGCTTGGCGAAAACATCTTATTTGTGTTTTTATTCACAAAGGATCACAAAGCCGCAGGTTCCTGAATCCTAAAAATTGCTGTAAGCATGATTTGACAAAAATAGACGGGAACAATACTTTGGTATTTCGTGACGAATTTTAATACCCGGTGTCTGCCATAAATCGCGTTGCCAAGTCAAATTTGGCGTTCTTGTTGAATCAATCGAGAATACAATTTTGAATGCACTCTTCTCGCTCACAATTTTTCCGGAGTGGGGTTTGCCAAAAATGATGTCATTCTTTAGAGATTTCTTTTGTCGTTAGCTTCATGCTCTAAAAAGTTACCTTATTTGGTTGATATTTTTTACATCGATTTAAATATATTAAAGTTTACGATTTTTCGTAATATATTTTATTCGTCAGACTTAATTAAAGCGGAATTCTAATGATGTTTTGATAAGTTTCTCAGTGTCATTCCAATGCCGTCCAACAGCTAATGATGAATCATAAAACACTTTCAAAAGCTAACAAGATAATTGATACATTTATGTATTTACGTGTAGGCAATTGTCGTCCGCACCGATCGTTTAGATTTTTCCTTAGCTTCCATAACTAAAGCGCAGAACATTTGCATTTCAAAGTGTGAATGAATATCTGCGGCAGATCTACAATAACAATTCCAAGTCATGACGTAACAATCTTTCAATTTGAGGAAAAAACTGCGATTTATTCGTTTTTTTGTATGACGCATGTGCTTGTATCCCATCAAAATAGAATGACGCCTCCGAGGAACTTCTAAACTTAGAGCTCACAAGCTTTTCCATTGATCTTGATAGACATCATTGACTTGTCTCGTTTCGCGGCCGTGATTCATAAGCTTTTGCCGCCCACTCGTCTTTCAACACCTCGATAAGCCGTTCTTCTTGTGTATTTAAAACGTTAGAAATCGCAGTAGCAACATTTTCATTTCCTACTGCCGCGCTCCTTCGATCAAAAGTACAATCGTCCTCAGAACTTTTCATTAAGAGTCCCGGCGAAATTGAAAATAAAAGTCAAGTAAATTGTCGTACTGTACTTTCGGTACTTTCGTTTTCGCAAACGTTAATCTTATAATTCATCGTCTGAAATCTCTTTGTACGCCATTCATCGGCAGAGCTCTGACAACGTTGGCTTGTTTCTCACGAGAGTGCTTATCAGTCGAAATCAAAGAAGCAGGAACCACGTAGCACGCATTCACACGAGGCTCTCGCGCCAAGAGCATCCGTCGGCGCTGCACGCAAGAGCGATAAAACAGATGACGCCCGCACCGCGACTCCAAGTTATGCGCGTCCGGCTATAGTGCCAATTCCAGTTTGGCCGGCCTTCGTCGAGGTCGTAGTCCCTTTTTTCGTGCCACGCCGCCAGCTATTTCCAGTCGGTCCTCGCGCCGCACTCTCGTCGTTTCTGCGGCCGCTTGTTTGCGAAGATTCTTTGGATTTTCTTCCGCGTGCCACGCGCACACTTTATTGTTCCTCTTGCGTTGCCCGACTGCCACTGCGCGCGTACTCGCGTGCATGTGGGTCATGGCCCGTACAAGAAAAAAAGTAAACAATGCGAAGGCGACCGACCCAGTTCGCGAATGTCTTAGGCTTTCGCTGTGCGTCTGGTTTATTTCTGTTTGATATTTCTACATCGCTTTCGCAGTCGAAAAGTAACGTGCGTGGGTATAAGCGCAGCGAAGAGTACTAGTCCCGCAGAATGCCGAGGGAAATTCAATTTCAATCTATGCAAATAATGCTTTTGTGCGCGTACAAGAGAACCGCTTATATGTGCTTTGCGCACAAAACCCAAGTAACATTGGCACTTTAATCTTTATCAGCTGAACGTATATTCTTTAGAATAAACGTATGAACTTTTGTGAATGTCCTTTGGCGTTCGAAGAGAGAAAGTAGCATGCGCAGCTTTGTTTATTTCGAAAGATTTTTCTTTCTTTCCACCATTAGCTTTCTTGGCCGGTCGACGTGTGTATCGCCTATTCATGCGTTTCCTCTTTTTTTATGCGACATTTCTACAATAACTGAAAGAGTGCCGCTCAGGCATTTCTCGGATGTATTAAGTAATCATAGCAATCAGTGCTCTCGTTCGTTATACGCGCGGACTTTCGTTTTTCTTTTTTCATGTTGACCTTTCTATTATGCTTCGATAACTCGCTCAAGGGGTTTCGTTCTCTCCGCTTCGGAGCAATTTGCACAATAACTGGATCATTTTCGTGCTAGATAACAATTACCGACTTTCTTCGTTTCAAATGTCGTTACTTCATCAAAATACGGGTACCTTTTTGCGTGTCGGTTCTTTAAATAAATGCAAATTACTCCATTATTGTTATTACGTGGCCGATTCGAGCACCACTCAATCAGCGTTCGTGTTTACATAAGTAAATATTCGTAAGCAACGAGCGCAAAAAGTGCGCCTCTTAAATTAATAATTTACAACGTACTTCTGTGAGATTACGCATATTGTGATAGTGGTTGTTTATTATGTTTTACGCGCGCGTGGCACAGCCGAGACTTGATTTGATATGCTCGTAAATAACAATGTTATTTGTTTCATCGCAAATACTTTCCGTTTTGCGCTGAATTATAATTCTATTTTTCTAAAATATCTATAATATATTTCACGGAGAAAATAAAGCTGAGGCGAAAATTCTGATGGATGATGAACCAAACACCAACCGATCATTTATTTCCTTCGCTTTGAAAATAAGCAGCTTACCGAATTGCCAAACAATGTGCATACGTAGCTTTTAAAAATTGCCCAACGTATCAGTTCTCTTTTCGCTTTGCCGAATGACTTTCCTCGCCCGAACGCCAATGACTTTGGCAAAAATAGGCATCCGAATAAAAAATAAATGAGAGGAGGAGAGTGTGTGTACACGTTGGCGTCGTTCTCGTGCGTATACGATTTTCCACAAAAGCGGCAGCAACGATTTGCGGCAAAACTTGATGCGCCAATTAAAACGGCGAAACGGCTAGGCGGAGTGGAAGGGAGGAGGGAGGACGACAACCCCGACATGGTGTGAAACTCATGGGAAGTCTGTCTCTATTGCTTCGAGCCAACCAATTCAAGATCATGGTAAAGGTACAGCTATAGCATGGCACGCTAATTGCGCGTGAACTTCGCCATCTTCGTGCTATTCTTTTACCTGTACTTGAGCGCGTGAATCTCGGAGGTGCGTGTGATATTCGCCTTGAGAGAAAAAAAAATTTCAATGAGAGAGTGAGTTTTCTCCTTAACCAGGGTTGATCGTACGATATTGAACTTGGTTCCAACGTCAGTTTTTTTGTTAATGCATGATTCCCGTTGTAATTGTTGTATATCGCGAATTTATTATACTGTATAATTGAAAGATTTTCCATTTTAAACACTGTTTAAAGAATGTTATTTTTTCTGTTACAGGTGAGTTGCTGAAAATGTATTTTTTCTCATTTCCCAATGTCACGTGAGTCACATAATCCCTTACTGCTAAATCTTACATTTGTTAACCGTACGTTCGTACGTCATTAT